CCTAGCTCAGTTTGTTCTTCCGTCCCTTTTCCCTTAATCTTGAACTCTTAACCCCACCATTCTGTGTTACTGCATCACCACTAATGCACTTCCTTGTCTTTATCTTGCACATTACACATCGTCTACATATGCCTCCACACTGCTAACTTGCGCACTTCCTGATCTATTATTATTATTATTTTGCACATTTCTGTACAGCTCTTTACTCATTTGTTTAAGTAAGCTTCTGTACACTCATTCTCTCACTCTTCTCTATACTGCCACTGCCCATCCATCAGTCGGCTCCCTTTTATTGTCTCTATTTTTCTTTCTCCTTACTTTACCAATTTTCCAACACCTTCCTGAATCTTCATTCGCATGCATCAGTGTACCAACGGCAAACCTTCCCTAGTATCCGCTGACACACACTTTAGCCTAACCCGCTCGTGGACCCCTCGAAATGTCGACATATTTCCTATGAATTACTCCTCCCTCATATTCTCACCTGTAACACCCATTGAACCCAAACAGTCGAACCCCCAAGCTCACACTGCCACAGACGTTTCGTCGTCTTTGTGTAAAATTACAGATTTGGATGAATTTTAAGCAGATTCCTTTTATATACATAAATTCTCTGGCTGTATAATATATTATGAATTATATTTTTTAACAAATGTAATATTGTCCCTGACGCTTGGCCATTGTTCTAGATAACTTACTTTACATTACCTTTTCTTAACAGAAGAAATACTGAGATATAGGCATATTGTGTATACTTTTCTTGCACACTTCAAAATCAAGAAGGCCTTGCGACCCTCTATGAAGCTTTGGCGACCCCTAGTGGGAGTTAAAAAGGTTAGTTAAAAATTGTGATTGTCAGATAAAAAAAATGCATAACATTTGCTGATTCCAGGTTCTCAAATATGATTATATCATTCAGAATTGAATACTTTTGAGTGTCTGCTGAAGCACTTTGAAGACAATACCATGTACTCTTGGAAAATATAATATATGTGCGTAAATGTAATGTTTTTGGACAAAATAGCTAATCTATTAATTTTCAAAAAACACAGACTTTAACATTAGTTGCAGCCCAAGTCTAAAAATGTATTTGTAGTAGTGTTATAGCCTATGGTGGACATGGCTGAGGTCTATGATACCCCAGTATACTCACGGGCAATACGGCCTGGGTTAACTTGTCATTATCCTGTGTCCGCCACAAAGTTTGTATCATAAAAGTGTACTTTTTGACGTTTTAATTGATTTATCATAAAAGTGAGAGCTAAACAGTGACTAAAGAGTAAAAGTAGAGGCATACAGCAGTGTAAAAATCAGGTTTATTTCACATAGAAAGGAATTTGAATTGGTATTTTGGCACATAAAAAACATTGTAAGAGAAAAAGAAAAAGAAACAACAAGTCACGCAAAAGTCGTAAATATAAAAAAAATCGTAAAAGAATTAAAAACATGTCTCATAAATTATGTAAAATAAACAGAGTATGGGTTGTAAAAAGAAAAAGAAAACAGTGTTTTATGACTTCTTAATATTTTGCACGTGCGCTCCATGATTAACTACCATATTTCCGACAGCTCGTGAACGCCTCCACAGTCTATTGGACAGGAACCTGAAGAGTAAGTGTCGCCTTAAGGTGTCACGCTTCAAATTGTAGCGGAATTTATGAAACAAACGTATCAAATGTGTCATCTTTGTCCCATCTCAAAGGCGTCTGCGCCACAAAACAACCGCAAACTGAGCTTAATCTGCGCGCTCTGTCTGCGCAAAGGCGCCTCTCGGGGCGCGCTAATCCAAATTTAAGGTGGTAATAAATTATTCCGTGTCCTTGTTTGACTCCCAGACTATATGGTACACGGTGTGCTGAAACATCAGTGGGAACCGCTCCTGCCGCACAGTGCACAGCCCGGTGGCTTCCTCTCCAGATCTGAGAGGCGAATAAATCAAATACCTGGCGGCAGTCGGCTGCATTTCACACATAGTGTAACATCAGACACCAGGCTGCTGTTCCCACTCACCATAAGTGGTTCACATTGATTACAGCGTGCATGCATGTAAGCAGTCTGTCGTGATGCTTTTATTTGACAAAATCTGATTTTGTAACAGACATGCGCACATGATCTCTTTGCTTGAGTGATTCCATTACTCACAGATAGAGTATCTCATGACTGTAGGTGATTTCCCCCTCCCTCCCTGCAGGGTGTGTGTCGGTCTGTCAGACAGTTTCTTTTCGGTTTCAGAGAACAAGCTGCAGTTTGCAGTATTTCCTGTCTGCGTGAGAAATACTGCAAACTGACCCCAGAAGCAGCAGCGGCAGACAGCAGGTGAATTCCTGGAATCCCCCCACTGCTTCCTCGACCTCCGATGACCTCTCCTCAGCTTCCCGACAAGAGAAGAAAAAGCCACTCCGAGATGTGATGATTGATACGAAGAACTGTCAAGAGCGTTGTGATGAGAAACACACCAGCAACGCCAGGGCCAGGACTGATCAGCACCTTGACGCTGAAAGTGTTCAAGTGTGTGTGGGATCCACCTTTAAGCAACTGTCAGCCTTACTGGGATCATCTGGTTTTCTTTCCCACTTATTTCTGCCAATTCTAATGAGGTGTGAACGTCTGTGTGTGTTGGAAAGGAGAAAAAAAAAAGTGCATGCTGCAGAAACAAGGAAATAAGAAATGCAACCACAGTAGATGGAAGTGGTTTTAAGCACTGCACAGACCACCAAAGAGGGTTCAGTTCCCAGTTCTGTATGCTCTGTGTCACAGCTGAAAGTACGCCAACATGCACTGAGTAGGGGTGGGGGGGGGGGGGGGGGGGCTTCTTTCATGTGCCATAACAGCTGCAACCCTGGACTAAATCTGTTTTTCATTTTAAAAAGATGATTTGCAGTCATATTCTAGCTTCCAAACAATCTTTTAGTACATTTTCTTCCCAGGTCTCATGAGAGATATATAACCAAGACATACAAACATGACTTTATAGGTGAATATGAAGAATTGATGTACAGCAGCACCAAAGACTGGCAGGCAAACAGTCACAGTGACGCCTACAGGGGGGATGTAGAGTCCCCCACCTGGCTTGCTGCATGCTGTTAGCAGGAAACTGCAGCACCCAGAGGACACTAAGGTGAAGTCAGGGTGAGCATGCACACTATAAGATCAACTGCTCTTCACTGGGCGTCAGTCATTCACATTGCCGCCCCTTTTCACCCTCAGCCAAAGAGGACTCGCCCTCTCTCTCCTGACTCGGAGTGCAATGTTGCCATCTGCAGGCGGAAGGTCGGAACTCCCTATTTCCATGGCAACTACGTGGATGCGGGAAGCCCCCCTCCCGTAGCCCCTGGCAACAGGCTCCCTCGGACGGGATTGGAGTCCTATCAGCAGCTGTCAGTCACGGGATGAGCCGCTGCCTTGCCTAAGGCCAATGTGCTCGGAGAGATAGGAATAAATCCATTAGCACGCTATTGACAGGGACGTGGGTCAGCTGGAAACACTCGCTGAGACAAAGACGGAGAGAGGAGGACCCAGAGGTGCATGCAGTTCATACATTATGTGAATATGGACTATAGCAGGGATGGGAGGATAGTTTACACCGTGATTACCAAGGTTGTGATCGATGGAATAGCTCAGAAGCAGGCGAGGTGAGCTGTGTGACAACAGCCCTTCTTGAGAGTCCTGACATTTATGCAGCAGTTATTAAAACGTGTTTACTAGCTGGAAAGTTTCCTCTAGAGCGGCGTAACCCAGTTGTGTGTCCATAAAACAGCGTTACACAACATCTGGTGCAGCATCAGAATAATAATGGATGGATTATGAGACCTCAGGCACAGATGGTGTAGGTGATAGGAGGAGGGTGAGGGTGCCATCCCCTCTCTCCATCCCCGTAGTACCGAGGTCACTAACAGGCAGACTGCGGTTCAGGACCCAGACACCGTCCTACACAGGACCCAGACGCATAACCAATACATTTTGGAGAATTATCCAGTTTTGTTTTATCACTGAACAAGTCTGGGGAGTGAGATGTGAGAGGGGAATAAAGAGAACAAGGAGGCGTTAACGCTGTTCAATTGTTAAGATTAAATATTATAAAACAGGTTGACACTGTTAAGATGTGAAATGGAGTTAACCAAAAATAGGGAAAAAGTTAAACTGAAGCTGCACTTTTTATTTCATTATTCTTAAATAAAGCACTTTAAAGATGCACATTTTGCAGAAGCTCTCTGTAATGTGTTTTATTATTTAGCTGCAGCAACAATAGAGTCCTTATCATCCCTTCAGTTCAATAAGAAAACTATTGTTCAAATATTATTCAATTGCACTTTATTTGATTTTAGTAGCTGTAGACTTCAGGACAAACTACCTACAATTCAACAACCATGGCACAGAATCATAACGTCCTTTTGTATTTCTTTGTATCGTTAGAAACCCAGTCATATTTTGAATGGTCGGCACTTCCCTCATTTTTCCCCTGAGACGGTGAGAAATACGGATTCATGTTGCACTTCCTGCTTCCAATGATGTAAAAATTGTCTTTTTGCATTCACTGGGAAGCAGGAAAGTCTCATATCTTTGTAGGAGGGGGTGAGACTTACAAACACTCTTTTCTCGTCAAGATAGGCACCAAATTCAGAATTTATGCTTACATTTTCGATACATATATAACCCACTTTCAATAAAGATGAAAAGAATAATGTTTCCACGGGTGAAATGCTTCTTTAAAAACAGACTCTGGTTGAGGGGACCTGAGGCCCCCTGGTCCAGTCCATCCATGATTATTAGGCATGTGTTTGACTTTGACTCCACAGGCTTCCACTCCTTCCTCTTTAATCATCTTTTTCTTACTTCCCTTTGTTGTGTGAAAGAGGTGGGCGTCGTTTTCCCAGTATGAGAAATAGTTTTCAAT